CGACAGTAGCTCCTGTTTTTTACCAGACTTAGCACGTGCTTCGAGCACTTTACAGCACCCATGGTCACGGGGGGTGGGGGACCATGGGTGCTGTAAAGTGCTCGAAATGTCGGGTATATAAGAAAGTTAATATATGCGATAAAATACATAAAAACTAGTTTTATCTAAATGTGTAGTGATCGCGTAAATATAAGAAACCTTTATATTTTTTTATACACTCTAGAATTGTTTCGTTGGTCGTCGTTTATAGGTAGAATAGTTTACGATTCCTCCTGGACTTAAGATATACACACAGCTATATAGCTAATGTCCATTTGGAAATATATTTTTTTTTATAAATTTGACATAAGATCACCATTACCATACAGTCTATCAAAATGCCCACTTCTGAACACAGGTCTTCCCATCGATTGCCTCATAGGGGGATATTAGTGGTACACTGCTGCCAGTTTTCTAATTTGTTTCCCTCAGTCGCCTCTTACGACACCCACGGGACGTTATGGGGTAGTGGATATTGTGACACCGTCCCTACACTGTCATCGACACTACAAATATAATATATAAACCCTTTTTACTGGAAACGAGGCCACCATCTTAGTCCTCACGGATGACAACGCATCTGCATTTTGATTCGTTGTTCGAGGATAGATGTAGATGTCTATGGGCCGCAGCAACCACTTACCATCAGGTGGACTGTGTGCTCGTTTGTCACCCTTATAGTATAAAAGAAAAATTAACATACCGATTGTTAATTGTATACTTTATTTTCTCGAAATTTCTCATTGTCTGTTCTTTCATTTATGCTATAAGAAATAAGTTAATTAAAATCTACACGTGAATCATTTAAAAAGCCTGCGTGGGTTAGAATTTGTCCCGGTCGTTAGGTCATAGGCGTCACTGTCCTAGCCTAGATTATATATATCTTAATAATATATATAAATTACGTGTCACGTTGTTTGTCCGCGATGGACTCCTAAACTACTCAATCAATTATAATCAAATTTGCACAATATGTGCAGTTTGGTCCCACTTGAGAGATAGGATAGTTTTTTTGCCCATGAGTGACCCACAACTATTTTTTTGCGAATTTAAGGACTTTTAATAGGACATGACGTGGTCGTCGAAATGGGCAGAACAAAGTCTGCCTGCCAAGCTAGCAAGCTAGCTGCACTGCTTTAGAGCAACCAGTCTCTTAAGGGGATATAGTAAGTCAGCTCAATTCCCCACTTTCCCGCGCGTCGTATGCTGTGTACCGACATGTTTGTAATCACTAATACTGTAAGTAGATAGGTCGTTAGATACTTATTTCATTAGGTTTATCATATTTATGCCTGTTTCTTAACGCCAAGCCAGTCGCTTCTTATTTTTATCACGGTTATTTCCCATTTTAATTTTACGTCATCCTGTTGCGCAATGTATTTTCTGATCGTAAGCGACACAACCTCCCCCTTCGAAGGCCGAAGCGAAGTGACCGGGCGGCAGGAATCACGCTTCAAGAGGCCGATAGTTTAGGTAATTTCTTTTTTACAGTGAAAATAATGGTATTTAAAAAAAAAAGTAAATAACATAAGCACTGCTTTATAGTTAGTTCAGTTAGTATGCAAAGTTTCATGATCTTATTTAAAGTATTTTATGAATAACAGCGGTTTATTGTTCAGTTTGGAAGTAACTTTGGATTTTTTTCTATCGAGAAAATTTTACGAAATCGTGTTTTCGTCTAACATAATCCTTAACATTAATCCTCAACTTTACCATATATTTATTTTAAAATTAATGCTGCAATATTTTCGGCATAACGTAGGATCTTGCTAAGCCATTTGAGATTATATTTTCCCTTAATGCCGACCACTTTGATACGAGATACAATACATACATCGCTAAACGCGCTCCTAACCTCGGTGTTTTTTTTTTCAATATGACTTGTTCGTTCAATGGGGAAAGTGTGGCCTTTTTGGAAGGTAGAGTCGCACGCGCGTTGTTGGTAACGTAACTGCTGACGTCACATCATGGCCGCCGAGCCTTTGTCTTCACGCGGAGATATTTTTATCTGACGGTACGGACCGGTTGGGCATTACATCAAAAGTATAAGTAAAGCTACAGCTTATATACATCCCAATGCTGGGCACTGGATTAGTCTTATTCCTGAGTGCATTTTAGTTGCTCTAATGCTTTTTAGCGGACTTTACGTGTCTTAGATTTTTTTTTTCTTAGATATGCAGGTATCATCCTCACGATGTTTTCTTTTATCGTACCAGCACGTGGTAAATAAGAAAACTTTATAGTCACTTTCGATGGACCAAAGATACGAATTTTTACAATGTAATAAACGCACTAGTATATTTGGTTGTACACGATGTCTCGGAAACTATGTTTTCCACAGAATACGTGTAGAGCCATGCTGCAGATATATTATGGTTGTAGCACGAATGGGTCGGCTCGATCGGGGAAGGACCACGCTCTCACAGAATACCAGCGTAAAGTAGCAGCTTAATGCTGCTGTGTTTCGTATGGTGAGTGAAAAGGACCAGAGACCCGTTTTACTGGAATCCAGGCATTCCATTTTAGTCCTCAGGGGTGACAATGCATCTGCATTTTGAATCTTAATAGAGGTTAAATGTAGATGCCTATGGGCCATAGCATCCACTTACCATCAGGTAGACTGTGTGCTCGTTTGGCACCTTTGTTCTATAAAAAAAATACCAGCGTGAAATAAGAGTTTAGCATTAAACTATTTTTCATATTGTGAGTGTAGAGAATAGGACACCCTTTTTTACTGAAAGCAAGGACTTTTTCTTCTTCCCCAGGCGTGGGATGTAGATGTAGATGTGTCTATGAGCCACAGAATTCGCTTAATATTAGGTGAACTATACTCGTTTGTCATTTATATTCTAAAAAAAATTGTCATAGCGTTTGCCTCTTTAAGAGGTTATAGCATACACGTAAGTGAGGCCGCTAGATGTCATCACTCGGTATGTTATTTTACGTCACAGTTTCACTTCGACGATCTAGACTGTCCTTGGTAGTGGCGAAAGTGAAGTACGAGTACTTGTGAAATATTAAGATAGTGTCACATTTGGAGCACTTAAGTCTAGCGGTACGAGGGTATAAAGTATTTGTTAAATAAATCATCAAACATTAATATTTATCTCTTTTCTGTATATATTTGCAACACTTTAATTTATGTTCGTTAATTTTTGTATTGGCAATTCCCTTTCAGATTTCTAGTATTCAATGTGTGTAATACATATAGCTCAGAGCTAACTCCTTTCTAAAGGGCCGGCAACGCATCTGCAATTCCCCTGGTGTTGCGGTTGTTCATGAACGGCGGTAGTCACTTACCATCAGGTGAGCTCGCCCGCAGGCATGCTCGTTTGCCCCCTCTTCTATTAAAAGTCGGCCCAGAAACGGATGACATGATACACAATAAGAATAAAAAATATTGTAATAAACAATAAATATGTATATTAAGTCTTTAAAGGTAGACTTACTTAAAATTTGTCGAGTTTTTAGAGTAATTATTAAGAGAAGATTCTCGAAATCTTAAGACCACTCAAAAGGGGTTTTCAACAAAAAGTAAAAGTCAACATCAAAGGAATAAAATAATTTCCACATAACAGTTTCTGAAGTCAGGGCTTTAATTCGTAAAGCTCCTTCTTATTACAAAAACTATATTTAGTCTCAGGTTGAAACTGGAGTGTGTTTCAATAAAGAAGTTCTGTGGGAAATATACAAACTAAAATTATTAAGTATAATGTAATCCATGCGTACTAAACTGCGTAAAAAAACTGAAAAGTTAAATTTACATACTACCCTATATATAACGACGGGGATCTTGCGGGGGTAGGGGGCGGAAGTCTACTGTACAGTACACGTGGTTGACGCTAACGTGTTTTACAGTACTTATTTAACTAATTTTAAGTGATGTTTTCGAAAAATATAATACAGTGAATTACTGTTATACTTTGAGTTACTAAATAAATTTGATTTCAAATGACGACCATGCTTTTTTCTTATTTTTTTTTGTGCGAGCAGCTATGCAAGTCTTGAAATACCGGTATCGATGCGATATTATGTTAAAATGTAAGCTGTTGAGGTTACATAGCGTGCCAAAGACAATGCCGAAGACATACATACATTCACTCGAAAAACAAAAACCATTCTTCAGAGGCTGCCGGGGAAAAACACGTTTTGTAATAAGGATAGTCGGCCTTTTAGCACTAAATAAAGTTAACAGAAATTGAAAAAAAAATATATTTATCACGGGTCGTTAAAGAAAGGTATTTGGTATAAAACCATACAGAATTAACACCCTTTGGGTGCCTTGGTTTAACGATGTAAAGCCAGGTAGAAATTTACCGTTTACCGTTATATTGCCTATTTAAGTCCACTATTGAACGTAGGCCTCCCCCACAGATTGAGTCCCAGGGGATTGGGCCGGGGGGGGGTTACCGTAGTTAACACGCTTGTTTTGAGCTACTGTTAGAAGTATGCTGCTGTCCCATCACATGTTTCCATTTCCCCTCTGTCGCCTGCTACGACACCCACGAGACGATATGTTGTAGTTGATATTTTTACAACACCACTACACGGTAAGAGAATATAGAAAATATATATATTCCGGACCGATACGACCTAGGGACCTTCAAGAAAAGAGCTTACTCCTTTCTGAAGGGCCGGCAACGCACCTGCAATTCCCCTGGTGTTGCGGTTGATCATGGGCGGCGGGTAGTCACTTAACATCAAGTGAGCCGCATGCTCGTTTGCCCCCTCTTCTATAAAAAATAAATAAATAAAAAAGAGTATATAGAAATTTGTTTTTTCGTTCTTTGAAGTTAACTGAAAGGTGGATTTTCTAATTTATAAAAATTGTTAGAAATTATCATTATATTACAAGGCTTAGAAATATCTCCAGTGATTACAGCAGTATCTAGCGTGAAACCTTTGAAGCGTGAAACATGCTAGCATCGGAGTCTCTAACCGAGCGCTTATCAATAACAGATATGCATGAGATAAGTTCGCTGGGTTCGTGCTCCGGTCAACGTTTGCGGGGCGAGTCCCTCGAGTAACTGGCTTTTAATTGAAGTGAATATTCACTTACTCATAGCTTTTTGCATAGTTATTAATTAATGAATATAACAGTAACATAGATAGGCTTACTCCATAGATATTCTCATAGAAACGGGTTTTTTTTTATAGAATTAGGGTGACAAACGAGCACACAGTCCACCTGATGGTAAGTGGATGTAGTTGGCTATAGACATCTATCTAAATTTATCCTCTGTAAAGAATTAAAATGCAGACACCGTTGACACTCCTGACGACTGAGATAAAATGCCTCGTTTCCAGTAATAGGGGTCTCCGGTTCTTTACATTCATTGTCTACATTCTGTGAGAGTGAAGTCCTTATAGTTTTTTGTTTTTTGCGCCCGAAGCAAATAAGGTCGGAAAGCGGGGGAGGGAGGCGGTGAATGCTCATAGCGTACCACGCAGCCGGCTGCGTGGTTATGTGGTGACTTTTACCCACTTTTTGACTTGACTGGCTTAACGGTTTAACTAGAGATCTCTAAGCCGTATACGAACGCGACCCTCCTTGGCAGAAAGGAGGGCGCAAGCGGCGAAAAGCCGCTTAGACGAGTGCCTAACTAAGGCAGATTAAGGGATGTGTTATGTAGGCTCGGCCTGAGCCGCCAGGAGGCAGTTCAGGTCAGCCGAAAGCTTGTTGGGGGGGTCCGAGAGAGAGTTTCTCGGTCTGCGCACACTATAGCGAGTGTGGATAGGGGCTGCATAGGCAGCTGTCTCACGAATGAGATGATTTGGGTGGGACTCTGAGGCTTTGAAAAATCTCTCAGAGAGTGATTTAAGAAACTGCTGGATTGTTGGGAGCTCTAAGTCTCGGTGTAGGTCAGCATTACGGACATAATAGGGCGAGTTAGTGGCCCTACGACAGAATAGATTTTGAACTATTTGAAGTTCATTTATAGCTTTGGGCTTAGCATGGGCGAAAATGGGGGCCGCGTAGGTCATGACAGGTCGTATGCAGACCTTATATAGGGGAGGGATAATTCTCGCGGGAGGGACATGTGTCTGCCCAACATGCTGTTGAGCCTACCCATGTAAAATCGTGCGGTGCGAGTAACCTTCTTGATATGGGGTTCGAAAGAGCCTTGCATCAAGGGTGACGCCTAAATATTTGGCTGTAGTTGTCATGGGACAGGGGTTCCTAACATCCTGATTGGCGGAGTGGTGGTGAGACGGCGTCGTTTATATTCGAAGCAAACGGCGGAGCTCTTCTCCGGGTTTACGTCGATACGCCATTTTTGGAACCAAGCTCCTAAGTCGCTTACTGACTTTTGGATCTTGTTCCGAATCTGTGGCAGTGAGTTGCCTTTAGAGTAAACGGCTGTGTCATCTGCGAAGAGGGCTAGTTTAACACCATTCGACGGGATAGGGATGTCGTTGGTGAATAGTATATATAGGATATGCACCGAGCCTTGAGGGACACCGGCTTTGATTTGACGAGTAGAGGATAGCGTGCCTTCGTGTCTAAAGCGAAAGGTACGATCCTTCAGATAGGAGGCTACAAGGCGAACGAGACGGTCAGGGAGGCCTAAGTCGTACAATTTGTAGATGGTCCTTATGGCTCGCGGCGACCTATTCGTGCTGTGTGTCGTATGGTGAGTTTAGAGATTGGGAGACGCTTATTTACTGGAAACGAGGCATTCCATCTTAGTCAACAAAGATGACAATATATCTTAATTGATTCTTAATCGATGATAAATGTAGACGTTCATGGGCTACAGCATCAACTTACCATCAGGTGGCCTGGGTGCTTGTTTGTTACCCTTATTTTATTAAAAAAAACAGTGGACCATTTCACATCAAATAATTTTTTAAGGTTGGGTATTCGGTTTTTTGGTGTGTACCTACCTGCATTTTTAAAACGATCCTTGTTAGCTCCAGACCGATATTCGGCCACGACGGCCTGCCTCAACGGTGGCTAACCATCGGCGCAGGACAGGATTACAGTGCCCAAGTATATGCGCAAGCACAGGAGCACTCTCTATTGCCTCACTCTCATAATCCGATAGGACGGTAAACCGACACGACCGGAGAGAGATCAGGCGCAGGACCAACGGCTTTACGTGGTTTCCTAGGCACGGGGGTGAGACACCGCCAACTTGCTGACTCCGGGCAACTATTGAGAATTTCTTGGCGGAAAAACTCATAATTAATTTTTTGGCCCGACCCGGGAATTCGAACCCAGGACCTCATGATCAGCAGTCGCACTACTACAACCACTAGACCAACGAGGCAGTCAGTTAGTTATAATAAATATTTTAATGGCCAGTGCTCGAAAAAATTGTAAAGATAAGGCGAAACAGATATCTCTTCCTTTCTATTTTAACTGTGTTTATAAGAACCGCTCCCATTGTCAACAGTGATGGCAGTAGCGCCGGCAGCCCGAAGGAGGCGTGCGTGGCCGCCTCGCCGCCCCCCGCGCCCGCCAAGCGGGACGTGCGCCCCCCTCATCATCACCAGCAACACCACAACGACCAGCGACGGCTCAGCGTCGGCAAGTTGACCACATAACACCTTTATAAAACAAAGACATACCGAGATGCATTTATGTAAAAAGTTTTGTCATTTTGTACGTGATAGAGCCACGCTGCAGTTATATTATGATTGTAGCACGAATGGGTCCGCTCTGCCGGCGAAAGTAGGACCACACTCACAGAATACCAGCGTGAAATGGCACTTAATGCTGCTATGTTTCGTATGGTGTATTTAGGGAACCAGGGTTCGTTTTATTGGAAACGAGGCATTCCATCTTAGTCCCCATCGGGGATAGATGTAAATGCGTATGGGCAACAGCATCCACTTATCATCACTGGACTCATAGTATTATGGTTATAGCACGAATGGGTCGACTCGACCGGGGAAGCACCACATTCTCACAAAATACCGACGTTAAATAGCAGGTTTAATGCTGTTGTGTTTCATATGGTGAGTGTAGAGAACCGGAGAGCCTTTTTGCTGGAAACGAGGCATTCCATCTTAGTCCTTATGGGTGGTCAATGCACCTGCATTTTGATTCTTAATTGAAGATAGATGGACCTTATACATTTTAACTTGTCAATTGCTGTCGAGATTGTAAGACTTGAACACGCAACATCTGCTGGACCATATCGATTTTAAGCCGACAATAACCGGGCCATTTCTGTACGCCTTGGGGTGCATGTATCCGATCCCGCTTGGAACAGTTCCAGAACACTTCAATAGATTACGAAAGCTGTCTCTCACAGGGTATCGCGGATAACCAATTTAACCGACTTAACATTAACTGCGTATAGTTTTATTTAAATTATAGCTTTCAATGCATTCTAAATGCATTTTTGACTGTCGCCGCCATTCAAGTATAATGTATTAACGTAATATCGAGTAGAGCCACGCTACAGCTATATTTATTGTATAGTTGTAGCAAGAATGGGTCGGCTCGACCGGGGAAGGACCACGCTATCAGAATACCAGCGCAAAATAGTAGCTTGATGCTGCTGTATTTCGTATGGTGAGTGTAGAGAACCGGAGACCCTTTTTACTGGAATCGAGGCATTCCATCTTAGTCCTCACGAGTGACAACGCATCTGCATTTTGATTTGTAATCGAGGATAGATGTAGATGTCTATGGGCCGCAGCAACCACTTAACATCAGGTGGACTGTGGGCTCGCTTGTCACCCTTATCCTATAAAAAAGGCCTTTTCAAGAATTATCCACTTGCAGTTCCGTCTCCAACTCCCTAATGTTTTGCATTTATTTACTACGGAGAAGGTCGTGATGAGCGCAGAGTTAGATAAAGAGGCCCTTTTGTATTTGAGAAGTATAAGCTGGGTAGGTCAAGGTCAAACTGCAGTGCGTGCTGCATACAGTCAGGTTTTGGTTTTAAAGATAGGAGAGTCCTTAAACTTACTGGCAGAGACCATTTAATGTATCTGCCTTTTACACGGAATCAAAATGTACATGCGTCGTCACCCCTGAGGATTAAGATGTAATGCTTCGTTACCATTAAAAAGTGTCTTCACTTTCCTCGCTAATTATACGAAACACAGCATTATTATGCTGCTATTTTACAATGGTATTCCGTGCGAGAGTGGCTCTTGCCCAGTCGAGCCCATTCCTCCCCGTTCGTGTTTATTTAGCTACAGCGTGGTTTTACCAAAAGAAAAACATCCCCTTATTTCTTTTACGCTGCTTCGATCTTTACTTGCTGGTGGGTTTTTTTTGTATCAGCCCTAACAGGCCATTACTGAATGATAGTCCTTAATCGTCGTTAACTACTAGTAGTTTTAGACGTGGTAGAGCCACGTTGCAGCTATTATGATTGTAGCACAAATGTGCTCTTACAAAATACCAGCATAAAATAGCAGCGTGAATGTAGAGAACGAGATAATCTTTTTACTGGATGCGAGACATTCCATCTTAATCCTCAGGGGTGACAACGCATTTGTATTTTGATTTTAAATCGAGGATAGATGTTTAATGGAGGTGGACTGTGTGTTCGTTTGTAAAGCTTTTTCTATAAAAAGCTCTCCAGCCGTTCTATAATATAAGTACTTATACTAGCAGATATCCGCTCGCTTCGCTGGGCGCACGGTAATATTTTATTGCGGAACCTAGATGTAAAATATCAAGTTATTTTTTGATGGGACTTTAAAGTTTTAGAGATCTCCTGATGAGATAGCATTACACCCACTGTTAATAACGCATAAATAACGACAATAATTACATAATAAAAAGTACTTTTTAAGTTGTAAAAATTAGTAAAAACTGCACAGCTGTAGGTACATTCTTTTGTTCTTTTGTCGCTTATTATCCTAGCCCGTAATAAACTCGAATGTCGGCATCATACACACCAAACTCTCAGAAACCCGTTGTTTTGTTTACAAATTGGGATTTCTTGCACGTGTAGACTGTTAGTATGGGTTATCGATTATCTATACGTTATCATATTCTTAGTTGCTCACAGACTTTCAAACTGTAAACGTAGCAAGAGAAAATCACTGTGTATTGAGAAGGTAAGTGAAGTAGGTAGACTCTTTAGATTTAGTTTATATACTTTTTCTTTTTCTAATACAGATTTTTCTTCGTTACATTTATCGACAATTCTCTATAACGTCAAAATATGCACAGTCCCTTGAGTGTCGTACTAACCACACCCTCCACCAATTGTATATTATGTTATATCATATTTATTTTTTTTTTTTTTTTGAAGAGGGTGGGTATTTTTTTTTTTTTTTTTATAAAAACCTTTTCCTTTTTTGGTTTTTTTTTTTTTTGACTTCTTTAGAATCGATTCGTTTCTACTTTTCGGCGTTAATTATGCTACGTGTTGTAGAGTTTACACTGTATACATATTATAGATACTGTAATAATGTCCTCCGGACTGAATTTCAGCCACAGGGGCCTGCCTCTACGGAGGCTAGCCATCGCCGCAGGACAGGGTTATAGTGCCCAAGGAGAGCACAGGTGCACTCTCTATTGCCTCACTCTCATAATCCGATGGGACGGAAAACCGACACGACCGGAGAGAGATCGGGCGCAGGATTAACGGCTTTACGTGCTTTCCGAGGCACGGGGGTGAGACACCGCAAACTTCCTGACTCCGGGCAGCTACTGAGAATTTCTTCACGGAAAAACTCAATAATTGATTTTTTGGCTCGACCCGGGATTCGAACCCAGGACCTCACGATCAGCAGTCGCACTACTACAACCACTAGACCAACAAGGCATAATATATATATATATATATATATATATATATATATATATATATATATTTTATATATATTATAGATACTGTAATAGTATACTAAATATTGTTTCTGGGCAGGCGGTGGCGCGGGTGGCTCTCGGCGTGCCGAACGCCGTGCTGCAGGTCCATCAGAGCGTCGACGTCCAGGTAAGGAATTATACACTTTATTTCAATTGATTTAAAAATCATATCTTTGCCTTTTAGGGTTCTGTAGTTAAGCAACAAAAACCCTTATAGTTTCGCCATATCCGTCCGTCAATCCGTGTCAGTGAGCGGTTTTACTCAGAGACCCAGGGTTCTCCAACTGTGTAATTTTATACAGTTATATAATTATCGTAAGAAACATTTTTATTTTGAGTCCCACTCATATAGGCGAATAGAGGTGATTTTTTTTACTCGTCTATTCCATCGTGTGGGGTATTGTTGGACAGGTCTTTCAAACACTGGGGGTATGGAAGAATATCTTTTCGGTTCATGGCTCTGTTTGCGAAATATTTAGCTATAAAGTGGTATTTTTCATTAGAGTCATGTCCCCCCCCACCCTCTACTATCTAAACCGCTGTTTCTTTAAATGTGAAAAGGATACATAACCTAAAACTAGCTGCATTATAACTTTGTAATGTAAACAAAGAAATAAGCATTAAAACGGCTTAAATGCATTACTATTACTACTATGGCTTTTCTTTTTCCTATGTGGATCTTTATATTAATTACCCCGTGTTTTTCTCGTGATGTAATCGTTTTTAGACGTAAGCTTTATTTCCAAAGCATTAAGGTTTAAAATATGGTTTAGTGAATTTATTTACGTCGCCACTACACGTCTCATATCCACTGATCCCAGTGCGTTTGTAAATGTGGAAATGTGGCACGGGTCAATATGTTTCGTGCCCATATGTGGCGTGAGAGCCTGCAGAGAATGAAGTAGGAAATGGCCAGCAGTGCGTTTGTAAATTTGCAAATAGGTGGATATAATGGCTAGTTTACACACTGCGAGGTAGCGTACGAGTCAGCCTGCCGAGTAGCTGCACTGCGGTAACTCGCACTGTTGTCTGTGACGTCACTTGTAAAAAAAGTTACGAATAACGAGAGCCGTGGTAGCTCAGATGGTTAACGCTCGCTGTAAATATAACAGAACGCCAGTAACCCGGGTTCGAGCCCCGCCGGCACCAATGAATTTCTTAATTGCAATTTTAAGTGCTGATTTACCACGTGCTCGGCGGTGAAGGAAAACATCGTGAGGAAACCTGCATGTCGGAGGAATAAGAAAAAAAATATTTCGAAGACATGTGAAGTTCACCAACACGCATTGGGGCAGCGCGGCGGACACTTCCTTGCCCTAAACCCTCTCAGAAATGAGGGGAGGCCTGTGCCCAGCAGTGGGACGTATATAAGCTGTAACTTTTTACGAGTAACTCGCATGTGCGAGTTGGACAGTAACTCGCATCCGAGTTACTTTAACATTTTTTGCTTTCACTCGCATGCTCACCCGTCAGCAACTCGTACATGACAGCAGCTCGTCCGTCGCTCGCATCGTTTAGACGCGTTCGGCTGCAGCTCGCCAGCACTTTTTTAGGGTTCCGTAGTCAACTAGGAACCCTTATAGTTTCGCCATGTCTGTCTGTCCGTCTGTCCGTCCTCGCTTAATCTCTGTGACCGTTAGCACTAGAAAGCTGAAATTTGGTACCAATATGTGTATCAATCACGCCGACAAAGTGCTAAAATAAAAATTGGAAAAAAAAATGTTTTATTAGGGTAGCCCTATATGTAAAGTGGGAAGTGAAATTTCAACCCTAACGTGTGATATATTGTTGGAAAGGTATTTAAAAATGAATACGGGTTTACTAAAATCATTTTTTGATAAAGTCAATAATTTCGGAAATAATCGCCCCCCCCCCCCTCTAACTTTTGAACCATAACTTTAGAAAATATGAAAAAAATTTGAAAAGTAGAACTTTATAAGGACTTTCTAGGAAAATCATTTTGAACTTGGATGGAAACAACAGTACCCACTACCGGGAGCAGTTGCAGGAGCGCGGAGCGCTGCTGGAGCGCGAACATAATGGATACCCACCTTTAAACTCATAAGTGGGAACACTTATTGTGACGGACGGGAAACTACGGAACCCTACACTGAGCGTGGCCCGACACGCTCTTGGCCGCTTTTATTTTATAACACGTTCACTCGACATCGCGGCAAATCGCAACACTGGACAGCGGCTACTAGTGTCGTGTACACACGGCGTATGAGTAGACAAGCCGAGTAGCTGTCTACTGTCTAGTCAGCAGCTCGCATCGTCTAAACTAGCCAGTACCCCTTTGAGGGAGGGCTCAAAGATAGGGAGGACTATGTTCGGGTGTGGACTTTTAAAGTTATAGCCTATTTATTATACGTCACACTCCTGGGCACAGGCCTCAGCTCATTTCTGAGAGGGCTTTAGGGCAAGGAATTGTCCGCCGCGCTGTTTCAATGCGTGTAAGCGAACTTCACGTGTCTCTGAAATATTTGTTTTCTTATTTCTCAGACGTGCAGGTTTCCTCACGATGTTTTCTTTCACCGCCGAGCACGTGGTAAATCAGCACTTAAAATTGCAATTAATAATTTCATTGGTGCCGGCGGGGATCGAAACCCGTTTGCTCACGTACCGTGAAATTTACAGCGAGCACTTCGCCTCTAAGCTATCACAGCTCGCCAGGACGATTCATACCCCGCTCAGTTAAATAGTTGTATAACCGGAAGCCTGTTCAATGTTAACAACCGGTAGGAGAACATCACTTTCACCGCTATAAAGTTACTGTTTACAACCGTGTTACTAAGCGGTTAGTCAGAGTCAGTACACTAATGGTGGCCACACACGATCAGTAAAACTGATCATTCCAACTGATCAGTTCAAACTAAAACTGTTGATATTTTTCAAAATATCGGATTTTCGATATATCCATAAATAAACTATGTAAAACTCCCATATTAATATATTTATAATGATCGATATATTGGAAATCCACTATTTAAAAAAATATCAACATTTTTAGTTTGAACTGATCAGTTGGAATGATCAGTTTAACTGATCGTGTGTGTGGTCCACTATCTATACCTAACCTACCTAACGCATAAGTGGTTTTAGGTTCGAAATAAACAGTGATTAAATGAAACTAGCTTTTACGGATTCAATTGAGTATAATATTTTATTTTATATTATTGACGTTTCGAATATAACAATGTCAAGGCTTACCACTTACTCGAAACGTCAGGAAAGTGGTAAAATTAAAATTTTTGTACAACTGACTTTAATATAACATATTTGACAGAAATAAGGGTGTACCTTGGTATACTGAACACATCTGCGTACTCCTTTAGAGGGTATTGGTGTGATGTTATGTTGTGTGATTGCGTAAACAATGCATCTGATATAGCGGCAATCGCGATTGATTTGCTGGCATTTATTGAAGAGTTACGTTGTCTGTCTTCCTAACTCATCATTTGATTTTTAAGAAATTTAAATGGCACCATTTCGTAAATAAACCTCTTTCGAACGAAAAAAGAATTTTGCAAATCCGTCTATATTACGGAGTTGTGCCTTAACATACATAAAGAAATATAAACATACCAATTGAAAAAAAAACCTCCACCTTTTTTGAACACATTTAATAAAATAAGTTAATATAAGCGATTAAATCCGTACAAACTTGTGTGATTTAAATGTATGTAGTGTTCGCGTTTTATACTTGGTAAAGCAACGTTGCAGCTATATTATGGTTGTAATACGAATGGATCGACTCGGCCGGGGAAGGACCACGTTCTCACAGAATACCAGCTTAAGACGACACATCGAAAACGTTATCGCCGTACTGATCCGAGTGAATACATAATTTCTATAAAAACTTGAAGAAACGCCGTCATAAGGTCTAAAATTGCGTAGCGCCCGCGACGATTAAAAGCGCTTAGAAATTGTCAGAATCTTAAAATATATTTAAAAAAAATATTGATTTAAGTTATCAAAATAATGAGCAAGTAAATTATGAATATTGATGTCATGAATATATTTGAGTGATTCCCAAGCATATAGATCAAATGATTTCGTTGTAATTTCAACTATAGTGATTTTTTAGAGGTGTTTTCGCAAATAATTATGATCGAGTCAAAATTATACAATCGTGTTTTTTGAGCAATCAAATTCAAGATAAAGACATGAATTTACCTATATCAAAATCCCACTTTCGTTAGTGGTGTCATAGTCCTATACTATTCGATGAAAGGAGGTGCATTTTTTCACGGTGTCGCCTTAAAATAGCAGCTTGATGCCGCTATTTCGTATACTGAGAGTGGAGAACGGACGACCCTTTTTTTACTAGAAGGAGGCATTCCATCTCCTCCAGTCCTCAGGGGTGACAACACATTTGCATTTTAATTCTTAAGCGAGGATAAATGTAGATGTCTATGGGACTCAACCACTTACCATCAGGTGAACTGTGTGCTCGTTTATTACTCTTATTTTATTTAAAAAAAAAAAGAAATCTATACACAGTTTTTTTTCTTCAAACAAATTCAAATATGGTACAGCGCAAGCATTTTATATAACTTGAAATAAAAAATTTTAAAACCCGCAAATCAAAAAGAGCTGATGATTTTCAAACGGCTGAAATGATTGTCTTGAATCATAGCCAAGAACACTCTCGATCAAGTCACCTTTCAAACAAAAGAAACTAAGTCTTAACGGGTTCATCCGTTTGCGAGCTACGATGCCACAGACGGAACGATACATATGTTAAACATTATAATATACCCGTGGTACAGCTATAATATAATTATAGTACCAATGGGTCGGGTAGACCGGAAGAGGGCCACGCTCTCACAGAATAACAGCGTGAAATAGCAGCTGAATGCTGCTGTTTTTCGTGTGGTGAGTGTAGTGAACCAGAGAACCTTTATACTGGCGACGAAGCATTCTATCTTAGTCCTCAGGGGTTAACAATATCGAGCTTACCATCAGGTGGACTGTGTGGTTCGTTAGTCACTAGTTTCTGTTAAAAGGCAAATTTCCTTATAATGTATATTCTTTACTGCAGTGCAGTGGTAAATCGGCACTTAAAATCTCATCTCAGTCATTGATCGGTATGGAGATAGAAACTGGTTTGCTTGCTTACAAATT